ATCGTATATATGCATATACATTATTCATACCTTCGGTGTATAGGACGCAAGCAGATTTTGACACTAAATTTTGGGGTAAAAAAGTGCGTCTTATACACCGAAAAATACGGTATATTCTATAAGAGAACAACTAATCACGTGGTGATGGTTATCACTTATGGATAAAACCAGGGTTTCATTCTCAGTATAGAGCATCGGTTTTAGGCAGAATAGATCTACATCTAGCTCTACTTGGTTTGAGATGGGAGTCGAATAATGGAAATTCATCTTGCAACAAAATAACTATTCATTAATTCACTGATCCAGTCCAATGTCCATGCAAATATGTACACTATGTTTCTTTGATTTGCATTATTGTGTTTCACTTTACATCACATGTCCACTCTGTATATTTCTTAGCTTAAAACTCAGTCGTTTAGCTAAATTCAGATTTATTTCACTATTTTCCTGATCAATCCTCCCATTATAAAGCAGAATTATCTGATACTAGCACGAAAATCTATTTATTTGAGAGTATCAAACAGTTTTATTTTGACTAGCAATGCACTTCTCACTTCGAAGTTCCAGTACAAATGTTATAAAGTTAACCTTATACTCTCGATCTGTTGTTCGAGCATCACTCAAAGGTAAACTTTGAGGCATATGTCACATGGCTCGGTGTTAGGCAAGTTCGTAGCAATATATATAATATATTTAATGTTAAAGCAAATGTCACACAAATGCTCTAACATCTATATATATTCGTGCTACAAGTGTAAGTTTCTTTTCCAGTAAAACTTGAATTATAAATGTATGATTTTAGATATTTTAATAATAATGTCCCATCCATGTAAATATTTTGTGTTGCTTTAATTTTGTAATATTTTAATGGATATTGACAAAGTTATACAAGAGTTTTAGAAATCGATTAAAGTCTAGGGCCCCCAGTGGGTAAGTTTACAGACTTTCAACACTAAAATCTGGTGTTTGATTCACCGCGATGGTCAGAGTGCAGGTAGCTAATTGTGTAGTTTTGCACTAAGAAAACAACAGCAACAAAATTAAAATCTCAAGAAAATACGGAATCCTGGAATTGGGATGAAAAATAATGAAATATCAGGACAAATTATGGATAGTGGAAATACCTTCAAGAATATTCTTGTCATTAAAGCACGTGCTCCTCACGTGATGTTAGAAATCCCTCTGGCCAAAACAATAGAAGAGTCGAAATTAAATATATCTATATAATTATAATAGTACTGTCTGTTGTATGCCCATGTAACTATTTCGTAGGGCGTGGATGGATCTTCACCAAAATTTGTATGGAGGTTCATTAGGTCCATACAGTTTTGCATTTTGCAGTTTTTATGGGCGTTTTCACCACTATCACACCTCCTATGGATGGCTCTCCACTAAATTTGGTATGGAAGTTCATTGGGTCCATGGGAAGATACATACAAATTTTCAGTTTTGCATTTTGCGGAGTTTATGGGCGTTTTTGTGATTTCGCGTTTTTTACCACTACTTCGCCCCCCTTTAATAGGTCTTTACCAAATTTGGCATGAAGGTTTGTTGGGTCCATTTGGAGATACATGGAAATTTGCGGTTTCAAATTTTGTGTTTTGCTATTTTTATAGGCGTTTTTTTACAATTACACATAAGGGAAGCAGCTTTTCATGTCCTAAGATAACCTTTCATTAATCATGAATTTACATAACTTTCGCCCAAGGGGATGGGTACTCCAGCGAGTATATGTAACCCACAACAGTACAATCTGTATCGTTACATAACTTATCAGCGGTGTGGATTTCGTTCGTTTTAAAGGAATCATTCTTAATTTGTATTTTGTTTGTTTGTCAGTCTATTATGAACGAAATATAGGGACTATTTATTTAAATACCCGTCAAATTCTGAATTACTGAATGTGAATTTTGCTGCAGACATAATAAGTTAATGCAAGGAATGTTATATATATCATGTTATATTCTTAATCTGAGACATAAAGTAAAAGATGCAAGTTCATAAGTCATAGTTTGTAATTATATGTCGAACGGTTGTCTCCAATTGAAAGAAAAAATCGTACTTGTAAAATAAATGTCGACAGGCTTCTGATTTTCGTCATACCACGTGCATATCACATGTAGCACAGTATGACCAAAAGGTAGCGCCAGAATAGTAATCCCAGAATTCTAAAGAATTGTACAGAATCTATAGACTGAACACAACTAACTGAAGTGTTGTGTTGTAAAGTAAGTGATGAGGTAAGAATTAATCGTATGTCTTATTAATGAAGCCTAACTTTTATAGTTTTCGAAAGCATGTATCATGTGTACCGAACGTTGGAAAAAGTTCAAGAGAAATTAAAGTACCCGTTAATATTTATATTCTCTCAACAATATGTAAATATGTTAAATTTAGTGATAAAATTATTATTATTATTAACATCATACTCCACATCAGGGACTATTTCAGTGTTTGGTAATGTTAGTTGTTACTGCCGGTTTCAACCACATGGCTGGATACTGGAGGTTTTTTTTTCGTTCGCTATTTCCTTGGCTTGGTGATAGTAGTAGTGGGTAATTTGTGGAACTGAAGTAATTTTGTCCCGTAAATGCTTTACGGAAAAGTAATTTATCTTCCATATGTTTCAGCGTAACAGCTGGTAGCTATCAGTTTTAATTAAGTATTTTAATATAGCAATATTTAGATTAGTTGAGACTGCCACACAGAATGAAGTTTCATAGAGTAACTTCGAGTAAGTTAATACAAATATTATAGATTAATCAGGTCGTAAAAAAATAAGTAAAAAATTAAATTTTTGTAATATATGTATGATCACTGGAAAGGCACAGAATTATGAAAGTCCGAGTTCCACTTGATTATGATAATACAAACTGCAACTTGTTAAGGGACACTTGACTGTTATCGTTCACTTGACATGAGACCAAGGGTGCGACTTAAAAGTAAAACTGAAGCAAAGTTAAGAATATAAAAATATGGTTTTGATACAAACTGTTTTCAAAAATAGTTAGTAAAGAAAACGTTTTGATGTTGTATGTAGTATCTAAATATGACAAAATATGGCATTTTAAAGTTTTTAAGGGAAAAGAAAATTGATTTGTATATCAGAATAATAGCAATTTGGAGTAGTGTTTTTTTAGCACATAGCTACCATAAGTTTAACTAGTAATAAATGCAAAGTGAGAAAAGAATAAGTAATGAAAAATGTGTTCAGTAATACTTATACTCATAATTTAGATTTCAAAGCATTATTGGCTGTGATGCTGTGGAAGTTGGCTACTATACTGATAGTCATATATCTGCTTTAACCCATCTGACATGTTGGTATTAGAATAACTCAAATGAAAAGTTCATTGAAAACTTGTTGTAATTTAGTGAATGTTGTTGAAAAACTGAAAACTTAATTGTGGATGACTTAATTTGCTCACATGTAGTCAAAATGTATTATATTTATTTATTTAGCATGTTTGATATATGTTTACCATCTCTTGTTGAGTGCATAATTTTTTTAAGTGTTGTGTGTCACTTGACTGGTGTGAGCTTACCTGTTTTGAAAATGTAACCAAACTGTTTCATTATACAATCAAGAGTTAGTTGTTTCTGTATACAAAATCAATATTTTTTATTGTTTTGTGTATTTTGGCAACTCTAGTTTTGGAAACCATTTAAATTTTGATATACTTGTGTAAAATAAAGTAAGAAATTTCATAGTTTTCCTATGTTAAAATTCAATAGGTTTGGAAAATTTTATGTTATAAAACAGTATGATTGCTAGAATGAGTTTACAATGAACAAATGGTATAGATATTTATTATTAGTAATTTACTGAAGTGCAGAATTACCAAAAAATTATTAAGAGCAAAGGAACAAACTTTGACTTGTCTTAAAACTAAGTGTAGCCTGGTAGGTGAGCATAGCTGAAATAAGACTTAAACAATTTAAGAACATTGCTTTTTTTTACTTGGTACAATAAAACTAATGCTAGAATGAATGAATACTCACTTAAAAAGAAGCTAGAAACAGATTAATGTATTGAGATAACATTAAGTATTTCTGGTGTACTGTGCTGTGTTTTTCACTGATAGTGTAAATCATACCTAAGAACTAAACCTCTTACAAATGTCAGTGATGTTGTCCAGGCATAAAAGGGGCAAATTGTTTATTTGCAGAAGATCATTGTTTTACTAGCTTTCTATCTTAATACACCTTCTGCTATTTAACTATTTTGTGTAGGGATACAATCTTTTGTTGCATAACTTAGTGATGTTAAAAAAAAATGGTCAGTGGTTAGTATAAGTAATCTGCATCAGGACTTGATCAGATAGAAAATTGGAAGATTTTGCAAAAATGTAGGTGCTAGTTCTTCTGTTAACAAATCAAGTATCACAATTGCATTATAAAAAAACTGCATATTGCAAATACTTAACATTCTTAAAATATGCGTATGACATTGCATTATATGTAATTGTTAACTCAAAAATATTTTAGAAGTGAGTTTTTTGTAATTGTTTAAGATTAATTAGCATAATGTACAAAGTACTATGAAAAAAGGTTTAAGCTTTTATTTCTGTGCAGCTGTTAGGATTCTCACATGTGAACTATACACTTTTTTTTTTTCCAAATGTTTTGTCCATCCCAAAAATTAGGTTTATGATTATAAAGAATTTATCATCCATATCTTATTTCTCAAATGATTTTCTTTCTCTGTTAATGATTTACTACTACAGGATTCATTCTGACACTTTGTTGCATTATGTTGTCTGAACAACTAATGAAGCACAGCTTTGAAAGCAGTTTTAGGCATCAATTAAATACAGTTGGGCAAGGTAGGTTCTAAACTATGTCAGTGTAAGGTAAATAAACTGGTTTGAGCAGTAATTTATAGTTTGATGAGAAAGTGACTAGATGAAGCTCCTGCAGAGATAACTAAAAGTATCTAATGGGAAGTTTAGAAAACTTGCATTGGGAAAAAAATGCAGATCTGAGACTTTGTTTATAGTTTCTTTAGATGCTCTTTTCATTCCTGTAATGGTTTTTAAGTTGTATCTTTGAAACTAAACAGGTTTCCTTCTATGACAAGATATCAGATAAGCTTTGGTTTGGCTAGTGCAGAGTAAATGCAATTAACAGTAATAAAAGAAAATGTGTATGCTACATATATAGTGGATTTTTTGTGTGTAACTATAACCTCTGTGAATAAAATAGTTGAAATTTAAAAAGGGAAGAGAAAATGTACTTGTGGCTAAATAATAATAGTAAATGATAAATTCAGTAGGAAGCAATAGCTTAAGGTTACAGAAGTTGAAGAAATGTTTTTTTTAAACTAACATGTTATAAACAAGTAACAACTTTGTCCTTCAAGAATGTCCTTACACATTTACACTTGAGAAAAGTAAAGATTCCTGGTCTTCATTTTTCAGGAAATCATTGATTCCTTTCTTACACTTTCTTAAGGTTCTTATCTTCACTAATGCTGATGGAAAATCATTCCACAAGCCAGTTATATTGTTAGAAAAATAGGTCTTATCTTGAGTCTAACCCGTCTTTTCCAAATCTTAGATCTGTCACATCTCATCCTGTTGTCTTCAAAATATAGTACAAAGAAAACAGAGGCCTTTATCATATTGATTCTTCGATCACCTTTTTAACTTCAGTAAGCTCATCTCTAAACTTTCTTTTCTTAAAAGATAACCCATGTAACCTCAGAATCATCATAGAAGCTAACATTAAAATTGTGTTTGTTTATTGTGTGTCTGAAAATAAACCTGTTGCTGGAAGAGTTGATTTATAAATGTGGCAGTGAAAGAGTTAAGGGCATTAGGGTCAGTGAAGAGTTCCATTCAAATAAAAAAAAAAAGAAGTTTAATAGGCCCAAATTTACACCAAAATATTTTCACTTTAACTGAACATTTTTTCTTTTGTATTGACTAAATGCTACTGACATAATCTATTACAAACTCTGATTCATTCTGCTATATCTGAATCACACCATAATCTGAACGAACTGAGAAAGCTTTATTAAAATGTGGGAAAGACATTCTTTGAATAAAAAAAATTCCATCTCATAAGATTGGCTTCAGTGAAAAGGCTCTCCTGATTTACTTGCATAACCCTTAATAGGTCTGTGCTGGAATCCATTTGAGTTAAAAAATGAAAGTCTGTTTAATGTTGGTGCAAATGGAGATTTTGTTTGCTTTAGTTTGATCAGGATCTTGTTGAATTTTGTTTAATGTTAGTGAACATGGAAATTCATGATTTACTTTAATGTGATCAAGATCTCATTGAATATAAAATGGAGTAAGTAATGTCGGTTTTCCAAAAATTTAAACTTCTTTTGAAGAAGAGCATTTCTTTGACTTTACAATTAACCTTTGCAATCAAAGCCAAGATAACACTTCCTTTATATCTTCCACTTGCTATTGTAATTACGAAGAAACTACATCATCAAAAATATAACATGATTGAAATATGTATTAAACTAGATAGCACAATATTTGTAACTCATGAAGGTTTGTGGAATATTTATTAGGATAAAAAAACATTTAGACAATAACAGAAATGTTATCTACTTGTACATCTGCCTATGGGACTTGCATGCCACTAGCCTTAAGGTAACTCCCACCCAAATTGATGTATTTAACTGGAACTGTGCTGGTACATGATAAGTCATCATGAGTAAAAAGCCCTCCACCAATATAAAGGTAGCAACCTCTATTAAAGTAACCCTATCTGTGCACTTTCACTCATATCATCATCCTTTTCCTTGGCACTTTATTGAATAGACGTTTTCAAATTTTGTCTGGCTTCAATTTGTTGAGATTTGCATTTGTTTATGAAACTTTGTTTTTCCGTATACTTTGGCTTTTGCCATCGCAGCTGTTTTGTAATAAATTTTCAAGTGATTGTGACCCAGGCCCCATCTCCACTATGATGTTGGGGGATTATTAACTGAGGAGGACATCACAGCCATTGTGCAATGTATTGTGAATTCTATCGTGCATGTGAGGTTTTTTATTCACATTTGTTTTTCTGACATTACTCTTATTTTGAGTTTGAACAGGAGGAAGATGAATTTCATTGCCTATCCCCTTCTAGTTTTGTATTGGGCACCTCCCTACTGGTCTACGAAAGCCCTCAGGGATTGAAGTATTACACTCCCACATTCCAGAGGAACTTTGTTTGAGGAAGTCCGTCTTTTCAGATGGCTTTCCCTATTGGGAATGCATGGTTCCCACTGCCT